AAGGGGTGAAGGCCGCCGCTGCACAGGAGGATTCTCGCGCAGGGTGGACAATCTGCAACTTCTGCGCGCACCGCGTCGCCCCTGAGCATCGGAGGCCGTGCCTTCCCTTTGCGGCAGCGGCAGACGCGCACGCGGACGGCAGACCCACGCGAGGTGACGCCGCGTTCTCGTCCTCCTCCTCCTCCTCCTCCTCCTCCTCCTCCTCCTCCACCTCCTCCTCCTCCTCCTCCTCCTCCCTCTCGTCCTCCCCCTCCTGCTCCTCCTCCTTGTTCTCGTCCTCGTCCTCGTCCTCGTCCTCGTCCTCGTCCTCGTCCTCTTCTCCTCCTCCTCCTCCTCCTCCTCCTCCTCCTCCTCCTCCTCCTCCTCCTCGTCCTCCTCCTGTCGCGAGCAATGCACAGAATGCCCAGCCCCTGCTGGACGCCGGGTGCGCACACACCGTGCCACGCTGCCAGGCAGCTGCGATTGTGCGCCCCGACGTGGTCGCGACCGAGGGGCCCGTGCGGTGAGGCGGGGCCCCTCTGGGCCGTGGGGGTGCGCCCTCCCTGAGATCCTGGCGTCGCGATGCTTGTCGCAAGGGGCGTTTTCGCTCTTTCTTTTCGGGCCCCGGGACCCTCACAGATCGATCCGGCTCGAAAAACGATGCAGAAAGATGGGGTCGAGGGCTCCAGGCGTGACTCTTTCGAGAGGTCGCCGTTTTTCCGCAACGTCGGATCTCAGGGATGGGCGCTGGAGCCCGTGAGCTCCAAGCTCCAGCAGTACAGCCGAGGGTCCTACCGGCAGGGAGCCCACAAAGGACGAACGCGCCCAACTATGTACATGAACACGGCCTCTCGATCCGCGAGACTGGCCGCCTGACACGAACATTCGGGCAATGCGCTCTCGAAACCAGCGTGGATTCATGCACGTGTACGTCCTTCTTTCGCTCCTGGACCAGAAGGAGACTGAATCAAGAACGAAGTCCCTTTTTTCGGCCTCCACGGCGCCTGGGTGCCTGAGGAGGGCTACGGGAACAGCCACGGACGGACCCCCGGAGCAGCGCGCCCCCGTCCGAACCCGGAGCGGTCCTCATTCGCAGCGTCTTGGCTGTGGGAGGCACCCTGGCCGCGGCAACTTCCTGCACCTCCCTCCTCTGAGCCCCTCCACGCGCCACCACTCCCACCAAACTCGCACCCGCCACAACCGCCGCCGCCACCACCACCCCTCGCAGCCCTCACCGCCACCCAGCAACCACCCAGCAACCAACACCATCTACCGCCACCGCCGAGGGAAATCGCAGGGTCGCGGCTGGAAGCTCGGCCAGCTTGCACGATTCACCATGGCCCGTGTCCCTCTCCTCCCTTTCCTCCATCCCCCCTTCTCCCTCCTTCTCGCGCTCTCTCCCTTCCATTTCCCTCTCTCCCCCTCGGCCCTCGGCTCCCTCCTTCGCATCTCTCCCTCCCTCCCCTTCTGCTCCAACCTTGTACAATTACACCATATGAATACTACTCGCCTCTCTCTTCCGAGTGCGTGCGGACGATGGCCAGGACACCTCTTCCGCGTATTGTTTACACAAGATTGCTGGGAGTTTGGTTTTCATATGTGCTGTTGACCATCCGATTTTTTCGTTCCTTCAAAATGTTCGGGAGCGGCAAAGAAGAGGGGGGTGACGAAGAGGGGGGAGGAGGCATTATGGTTCGAGGCAAGTGTTGCGCACAGCTCGCAGGGCTACGCACGCGCGAACGCAATCGGATATCATAGAAGCCCGCTGGCCGCCAGAATCATCGGTTCAGAACCAAAGCCAGCCAGCCAGATTGCGGCCCAGTCGCAAGCAACGCGAATGTACGCCAACCGCAGCACAACCAGAGGCCAGTCGCTACGAACTGAATTCAAAACGCGCGCGCATAGGTCGATCAACGAGGCGTTATTGGACGTGCCATCTACCCGACCTGATTGTGTCTTTCCAGCCCCCAGGGCCCTCAGATTCCGAGCATTTCGTAGCCATGACGATGCGCGTTACCAGATACCTGCCGTGGGGCACCTGCTGGACTCAACGGCCCAGGCACTGGCGACAGGGCACGGGCCAGGGGCCACGGCCACTGGGCAACGGGGCACGGGCAACAGTCCATGGGCCGCGGGCCACGGGCCGTGAGCAACGGGCCGCAGGCCATGGACCACGCCGCGCCCCAGGGGCCACGGGAACGCAAGGGCAGCCTGGGAGGGGGGTGGAGCGACAGGAGGGGGAGGAGGCAGGAGGGGCAGACGGGATGGGGGCGGGGAAGGGGGGAATCTGAAAGGTGCGCACGTGCGTCGGTGCACCGCGTGGCCTGGCCATGTGCTCTCCCAGAAAACATGCCCACGCGAATCCCACAGGGATTTGGATGCTGTTTTCGATTGTGGCTCTGGGGCGCAGGGGGGATTTCTGGATCCTTGGCAATTCTCGCGGAACTCCTGGCCAGTGCCAGGTGTTCCCGGCAAACTCGTGTCCGTGCCATGTGCATTCTGGGAATTGTATGGCCAGTGCCAAGTGTTCTCTCGGAACCCATGGACGTTGCCATGTGTTCCCGGCAAATTCGTGTCCGTGCCATTTGGTTTCTGGGGATTTCATGGCCAGCGTCATGCGTTCTCTCGGAACTCATGGCCGTGGCCAAGTGTCCCCGGCAAACTCGTGTCCGTGCCATGCGTTATATGGGAATGTCATGGCCAGCGTCATGTGCTCTCTCGGAACTCGAGGCCAACGAGCGGATTGAGCGCAACCATTTGGCACCGCACGGCTTTCGCGATCGGCCCCGTCGCAAATGCGCCGCGGCGCCGCGAGCAGCGGCATCGCGGAGGCACGCGGCCATTGAGGTCACGGGCCAGAGTACTGAGAAACCACGAGCCGCCACGTGACCATGGAGCCGCGAGCCACGGGGCGCTCGGAGCCACGGTGCAATGGAACGCAATAACCATTTGCAACGCGGTACATTCGCATTGCGCCTCTGGTGAAATGTGCCTGCCGACTGCGCGGGCACAACGATCTTGTACAGCGGGTGCAAAGAAACGCTGTGGTTGTTTAGTTTCGAACTTCATCATGAACTCAATCGTGATACGCACACACCCCTAGTCCTCACCCCCCTCTTGGCCGCTCCCGAAATGTTGTTCCCGCTGCAGCGCTGGCCCCATTTCTGCGCCTCTGGTCGTTCCAAATTGTGCTACCACTGCATCACTTTGAGGAAGTATCAGGCGGAGCGGGAGCCCCGTTTCTGCTTTGAGAAGGCGATGTTGAAAGCAGAGCCCGCAAATACTCTCTATCAGCCCCGCCTCATGGGGAGCTGCCCGGGGAGCCCAGGGAGCTGAACAAAGAGCCGCGACTTCAGACCGGCCCAAACCCCTCGAAGACAATCACCTCCAAGGAACCCGGTGCCATGCCATCACATGCAGCGCGGTGTTGTGTTCTGCGCCGCTGTGCGATGCCATGCTTTGCGTTGCAATGCTTTGTGATGCACTGCTTTAATACGCAATGCCACGCCATACTATGACATGCTACACTCTGCAGTGCTTGTCTACGCCATGCTACGCCGTGCTCTACCATCCATAACCTCTCGGGATCATTGCCTTGCTCGGCATTCGGCTGTGCGAACAGAAAGGATAGCTGCGCCATGGTAATAGGGATGGGACATTCCCCCTCCCCCTCCTCCCCTCGCCTGCCCCTCTTACCCTAGCCTCACCTCTCCTTGCCCTGCCCTCCCCACCCGTCCCTCCCCACCCCGCCCCGCCCCGCCCCCTCGCTCTCCCATCCCCCCCCTTCATCCTCTGCGCTCCCTCCCCCGCCCTCCCCCCCCGCCCTGCCCCGGAGGAAGAGGAGGAGGAGGCGGAGGAGGAGGAGGAGGAGGAGGAGGAGGCGATGGAGGAGGCGGCGGAGGAGGAGGAGGCGGAGGAGGAGGAGGAGGAGGCGGCGGAGGAGGCGGAGGCGGCGGAGGAGGAGGAGGAGGAGGAGGAGGAAGAGGAGGAAGAGGATGCGATGGAGGAGGAGGAGGAGGAGGCGGAGTCGGAGGAAGAGGAGGACAAGGAGGAGAGGAGGAGGGAGGAGGAGGAGGAGGAGGAGGAGGAGGAGGACCGCTCGCCCCTCCCCTTCCTCCTCCTCCTCCCCCGTCCCCCTTTCGAGGATCCGTCCCCGGACACACCCCCGAGGCCGGGCCCCCGGCCCGCCCTCCCTCCCGCACCGGCTCCCGACACTCCTCGGCGGCACGCGGGAGAGAACCTGGGCACGAGTGGCCTTTGGGGCGCGGCTGGAGGAGGAGGAGGAGGAGGAGGAGGAGGAGGAGGAGGCGGAGGAGGAGGAGGAGGAGGAAGAGAGAGGAGGAGGAGGAGGAGGAGGAAGAGGAGGAGGAGGAGGAGGAGGAGGAGGAAGAGGAGGAGTGACCTTTGGAGTATCGTTCAACCGATCCCCATCCCCAGCGGCGTGGCCTGGGCCCCACTGGCCGATTACCCCCGTAGATGGGGATATAGGCCCTTCCCTTCGGGTTTCAAGGGGTGTGTCCCCAACTGGGGTGGTAATTTGGTGGGGGTCTCGAAGGGGATGGAGATGGGGATGGGGATCGACTAAACGATACCGACCTTTGGGGCGCGGCTGGAGGGGACCTCGGAGGAGGCCGAATCCAAGCAATCCAAGCGCGTCAACCGATGCGGGTGGGACCCCCGTGTGCCCGCACCTGAGGTCACTCCGCCGAAAGGCCACTCTTACGCGTGGCCGAACTCCTGGGGCCCGCAACGGCACCCCCGAGGCCGAGATCGAGGGCCGCCCCCCGGCGCTCTTCCTTTCTTGAAGGAGATCCGTCTACCCTTACGTCGGGCGTGTCCTCCTACAGGCGGACCTGGGACGAAAAATTAAACAACCTTCAAAAAGTACCCAAACATAGACAACAACCGTTTTTGTGAATCGTCCCAGACTATTGTTGTACATACCACTTTTGAGCATTCCTCCTGTAGACGGACCTGCCCAACTTAAGCCTACCCCTGCCCTCCTCGCACGCGGCGGCGGCCAGTCCTGGTACCTGCGCGGCTGCCGGAACTCGACGGTGTACGTGCCCCTGGGCAGCTCGCTCTGCAGCCTCGGCCGCGCGCGCGCGCCCGAGAGAACAGAGCCGCCCACGGCGCCGCCACCGCCGACAGCTGCCCGGAACAACAGCGAGGCCGGAGCCGACCGAAGGCCGAGAGGCCGCGGGAACGCCTCCCAAACATGGTCGCATCGTTGAAAGATCAGGGCGGGAGCGTTTTCGTCGGTTTCGGCCTCTGCAGGCCCTGGCCGGGCCCCGGGGCCGTAGTAAAGAACGCAGGGTGGAAAACCGGTCCTGGGGGAAGGGTCGGGACTTCCGGGGGGGGCGCCGCAGTGAAAAAGTCAGGGCGCCGCATGTCTGGGGCGGGAGCGCCTGTCAAGGGCGCGGCGCAGCAGCGCAGCAGCGCAGCAGTGACGGCACGGCGGCCGACCGAGCCGAACCGGCCGAGACGAGCAACGCTCGTGGACATGTCGCGGGGGCTCCCCGGCCACCACCGTGTCAATGTTTAGCTGCACTGTCAATGCCTCGCTCTCCTGGGGCTTTGCTGCGCTCCTGCTCGCTAACATGTGCCACGTGTGCGGAGCTACGCTGTCATTGCCGCGCTTCCCTGTGGCTTTGCTGTCTTCCTGCTCGCAACGCACACCGCCAGAGGCGGCGTAGAGCTTGAGAGATCCCCCCACCCAGACCCCCGACGTCATGATTCTTTCATGAAGTCTGGACCCATCCCCTGGGACCGGTTTTTCGCCCCGAGTCGTTTTTCGATGGTCCTGAGGGGCGGCAAGGGCCCCCAAGGGCCAAACATTGTGAAAAACCTCCCGCCGTGATCTTCTCATGACCCGAGGGGGTCTGGGTACAAAAAGTGCACCGCTGGTCGCGACGCAACCGAGCCGACCGAACCATTCGGGTCGGGCGAGCCGGAGGCGGCTGTGTATCGAGGACTGGGCCCCTCGGTGGGGCCGAAACCAGCTGCATGCATCAAATTTCGTAACCCCCCTTTCCCAATCCCCCCCTTTCGTCCGGTCCGAACCATGGCCACCCAGGGCGCCGGCCTTACCAAGCGGGGACAGGGCCAGGTTTCGGCCGCTGCGGCTCGAGGGCTGGGGCCAGCGTGCCCAGGACCCCTCGCGCCGTGCAGGATCACGACGAGGATGTTTATATGCATATATGTTTATATGTAACATGTGCATGTACATGTGTGTATATGTACATGTAGATGTACATATGTATATGTCTATGCATATGTACATGCACATATATATACACATTTAGATAAACATGTGTACGTAGATGTATATGTTGCATATGTATAAACATACATATGTATATATGCATATATGTACGAGTCGTTATTGGTATGTGTGTCTGCATGCGTATATGTGTATGTATGGCTGTTTGTAGTATATGTATATGTATGTGTGTATATATATATATATATGTATGCATGTGTATCTGTATGTGTATACGTACATGTATGTGTATATATGTGTGTGTTTACGTTAGGCATGTATATATATATATATGGCCTCTGGGGGGCCCTCGGCGAGCCTTGGGACCATCAGAAAACGACTCCGGAAAAAAACGGTCCAGGGGAATGGGTCGAGACCTCTGGGGGTCGACGCTATGAAATCGTCATGGCGTCGTGTGTCACGCGTGCGGCAGCAAGGCAGTCATGCAGCCAAACATGCGACGTCCTGACTTTGTCATCACACGGTCTTCGGAGGTCTCGATCCTTTCCCCGGGACCGTTTTCCATCCTGAGGCGTTTTCGACGGTCCCAGGGCCCTGTGAGGGCCCCCAGAGACCGAAAACAACGAAAGATCTCCAGTCCTCACTTTTTCGCGACGCGAGCGCGTCTGGGCAGCCAGCTCGCCTCTCCAGCCCCGGCTGCACGTGCCGGGGGCTGGGCTGTGTGGGGCTGGCCGCTGCCCTGGCGGGCAGGAAGCCAGGTACCATGGTATCGTCGTCGTCGCCTGGCTTCCGACCGCGCGGGGGGAGAAGGAGGAGGAGGAGGAGGAGGAGGAGGAGGAGGAGGAGGAGGACGAGGAGGAGGAGGAGGAGGACGAGGAGGAGCCGAGCTCCTGGTCGCCCATCGGCACTCTAGCAGCTCGTCCGCCCCCTCCCTCCCTGCTCCCCCCTCCTCGTCATCCGCATGCTCAATCCACCTCGTAGTCATTGCCGTTCCTCCTCCTCCTGTCCTCCCTCCCCTCCTCCTCCTCCTCTCCTCCTCCCCTCCTCCTCCTCTCC